ACTCTTATATAGTCCAATATTATCAGCATTCACATCAAGATTTAAAACCGAGTGGTGTCAGGGGGAGACACCTAATCACTCCTCAACACATCCACGTACGCTAGTGAATTACAGGGCAGATTAGACTTCGAGTCAGACAATACCCCGCCCAAATCACATTTATAGAGTAATTACCGATGAGAAAAGCATATGTTTACCAGTACAATGGACGGCAATACTAATATTTGATGCGAGCATGTTACAAGGATATTCGAAAATCTTGAATAAGTACTTAGCTTCGAAACACTCGCAAAAAATATAAGTAACGTCTTCGATTTTGATGGCGAATATAAGTTAATCTCATTGAAAAGCCCACGAAAATTGGAGGAGGTCCGACTTGCTTGTCCTGTGGCCCACTGGCATAACTGGTAATGCTCGAGTGGTAACCTTATTGCTCTGAGCGATGATGCTTCAAAGATGTTGGGCGGAGACTAGACACCACATTCCAACGTCTTCTATGAAAATAAAGGGAGGACTTTCTTCCAGTGGAGAACTCCCACAAAATAAGAAGATGGACAAATTTTGAATCTTAGAGTGGTCACGGAAATCCATTTTAATAAGGTACATATGGCGTGGGCATATGTCGTTTACGATAGAATGAGTATCCAATAAACATTATGTATATGACTCAGGTAAGTTTTTGACAAAATATGAAAATAGCTTGTGCATCATTAGAATTCAAGCAGTATTAAAGCAAAGTATGAATAAGCAAATCTTACCTTGAGTACAAATGAATGCATTTTTCTGGCGATAACTGTCAACCCAGTTCGCATGGATGTAATCGCAGGTGAATGGACAGCTGGGAAGATTTTGATGAGAACTCTGTGCCTGACGAGGCCTCATAATAGGTTGCTGAACCTTCGTATCATCGTTCTCTTTTTTAGCCTTCATAATGGGTTGTCTTTCAAGTTCACTCACTCCATTCGTTTTAGAATTCCAAATAGAAGTAAATGAGGCTAAATAATTGTCGGCGCTTGACTCATGCCTTAATTTGGAGAGAGCAGAGATGCCAAGATTAAAGCCAAAACCTGTGCTTCCAGGGGCTGTGTGGCCACTGCCAATGCCACTTCTCGAGAAGCATGAGCCGCCGATCGACTTGGTACGGCGACATTCAGATTCTGTGCGCGTCTCAGGGAAGTCACGAATGCCATCACGCGAGGGCTGCGATGGGTTACGCTTCGCCGCAAACGGACATTTTGAAAAATCGTCATGGCAGCTGGGCAAGTGGACACGAGAAGCATCGTAGCAGAGAACATCACCGTAGCGATTCTTTGAACGATTACGAGAATCTCTTTAAAAATAAGATAAATTTGTCTAATTTATGGTAAATTGGAAGATAAAAGGCTGAACAATGTTAGTAGAAAAAGATAGGGCATACGCTGGATAATGTAGATTATTAAATGAACAAGTTCACATAGATGGCAAGTGTACAATTCTTCATTGAAAACATAACGATGAATAAGGAGATTTATATAAGTTTAATCTAAGATATGAAGACCAGGATGGTATGGTCTTTTGTGTGGTCGCAGTCTTCCTTCGTTGTATAGAAGTTGTTTGACCTTGTTTTCGCAACTTGGTCATAGTAGCAGGAAGACCTAAAGGAACGCATCTTGTCCGGAGTCCATAGTACGCATGATCATTTCCAGAGTCGGAACGTTGACTTGGTATATTCCCAGAAGTTTCCTGGTCTCGTAGTTGACATCATCAATAAGTCTTAGCAACCAAGCTGCAGCTCATCAAAGAGACAAGAGAAGTCAATCCCTTGACCAACTTCTTGTCGAGACGGTTATACTATCACTCCTCGTTTTGTCCAGGTTCATCTATCAATTTCCTACCCTCTAGTCTCATTCTTGTCCTATCACAACAGCTGACATGTGTATATTCCACAAGAAATGTGCCCTTTGGCAAATTTACAGTGGCGTTATCACACATGCTGTTTTTCTCGCTTCCCTACCTTTCGAGTGGCTGATCCTGCTCTAGTTTCCTGTCAGGATCTACTTCAGGAGCCCGTATGTCCATTTATTATATTTCTGGTCGACCGATTTTATTCGGTTCCAGCCCCAGCGTACTTTTACTCCAGGTGCTATTTGTCAAGCTTTCAGTAGCACGTACAAAGTCGTCTTATCTTAAGAGCGCCTAGGTTCTAATTCCTATGCCTGCGGATATTAGGATTACCTTTGCGCATCATCTTCTCTATTAAGCCCGTGTATCCTGAGCAAACTGTGGATATCTATCTCTGGACACCTGCTGGATCTCAAGTGGATTATTAGTCCATTTGATCATAATGCCCGATTTATGTGACCCAATCCCTTTCCCTAGTCACGGGAAACGTCGGACCCCCAAGTTGTAGTTGTTTATTCGAGCTGACTATTCTCACTAAAAAAGTCTTTGCTTCATTTCTGAAACCTCCCCACCCTCTTCTTCCTTGTGATCCTCTAT